TTTTATTTATTTTTTTATTATTTAGTTCTTTAGTTTCTTTGTCAGCTAGACAAATTCTTTCTTCTTCTCGTCTGCAGGAAAAGCTTTTGTCTTTGTGCTGCATTGAATTAATCCAAATGTAACTGGCCCTAAATAAATCTTCCGACCTTGCATCACGGTTCAACATGAATGACATCATGTATGAATACGTGCGATGACATTACCATCAGCACCTGGCAACATCAACACTGACTGTCTCTTCCCCCACCTACACCACATCACCACCTGGGAAAACAAGGCCTGTTAAGTTTATTTACTCAGGCTTGGCTGACTGCACAATCTTGGACTTTTCAGCAACGCCCTGCTTTATTCTCAAGAATTTCTCACCTGTACAACCATCACTGATGGAAACTGAGCTTTGGGTATCTGGGAATTTGGTTCCCCGTCACTTACATATGAAACGCTTTATGAAAGGAATCTCTTTGGAACCAGTATGGACAGGAGGAACAACCACAATGACAATAACTGTTATGTGACTGTTCATTTAAGACAGACTTTGATCAAATGTGATCCTGTCCTTTAAGTGGGACATGCAAAGAAGCAAATTTCTTCCAGAGGATCAGTGGAGGAGAGTCAAACAACCACCTATGAATTATGTTTAAGAGGCACACAAAATGGCTTCTTGAAACCAGCTTTGAACCCACAGGTACTGTAGCATCCACTGAATGCAGCACACTCGGACACATAAACAGAGGAGAAGTGATGTAAAAGGAATATTCACTCTATCAAAGGCTGATAACACAACATTTAGAAAGAGAAAATACTTTACCTTAAGAACAGCCAATCCAATAGCACCGTATTATATCCAGTCAAGTTTTCTAGGAGGATAACGTATCCACTACAAAGCTGGTGGGACAGTGGCACTGATACACTTCTGAAGGTCAAAAACTACAAAAGATCCCAGCAACGCTAAAAGGGTAAAACCTACTACTCCTGGCAGGGTGACTCAAATTTGCCGTACTGCAGCTGAACAAAACCCTGCTTGAGTACAAGCTACAGTCCTTCACCGCACACAGACTTCACTACCAGGATAATATGATCTGAGAGTTAGGAGCCTTGGTCCGCTAGCTTTAACCAGGAGTCTACAACGCTGCAGTACTTCTGCTTGCATTTTCCCTTCCTTCTTTCATTTCTCTCTCTCTCTCTGTTCTTTGGCTGTAGCTCCTGGCAGCTGTCCACTGTGTAAACACACACACTCATGTTGGTCTGCCGTCTAGGAAAACTATAGTAGCTGAGAGCTGCATATTTGGCAGGAGAGACCTATAATTGATATTATGATATAAAAGCCGGCCAGACTGAAAGTAAACCAAATTGTAAAACCTTATATGGCATGACTTTCCCCTATTAATAGACAGTGACCACAGTTAACGTGGTCAATATTGACTTGGTTTCCAAGACACTAGAGGCACATCAAGGGTTCCTTCATGTCAACTTATCATAGTCAATTAAAATAAATGTTTTTAATTTAGTTGGATTAGCACTCAGATACAGTTCACACATACTTTTCCACACGAGGTTTTCTGCCCATTAAAACATACAACCACAACCATACTGTACATGTGTCACACTAATGAGCGGACCTCCATGATGTGGGGGCCAGTATTCGCTTGGAGCCAAAATAAGAGTGTGAGATCAGGAGGACATGATGAAAAGGTGAAAGAGGTCAGGAGGAGAGGATGAGTTTGAAAAGGAGGAAAAGAGAGTGTACGAGGAGTAGAATTAGGAGAGGAGAGGAGAGGAAAGCTGATCTTGAGAGAATTGGAAGTGTAATGGTGGTGGAATTTAAGGTGTGAGTCATGCTGGTTTTTAAGCAAACTCATAAAACCACAGGAGTTAAATGTGCACTCTTATTTTCCTGTTTCTGTGTGTTTGAAAGAGAGCAAGACAGCTAGAATGTGCATGTTGAAGGAAAACAATGATGGCATCTTGCTGTGCTGCTGAAACTTTTTGTGAGTAGAAAATGTTTGTAAAAAAATATGGAAATTACATAAATGATATCTAGTTTTCTCCATAAGAAATGTTATCTCTTTTGAACTCATCATAATATCCTGTGAGAAATCACTAGATACTGTTCTAATCTGTAATCTGTAAGTACACACTCACTCACATGCAGTAAGTGCAGCGCTTTGTCTAGACTAAACGACATCAGTTTTTGCATAATAAAATAAGTGACTCATGGCCAGTTCTGTGTAAAAATGAGACTGTTGAGTTGTACTTTTACAGCAGTTGTCTAAAACTCTAATGCTCTAGTTTTTTTCATTACCACTAGCACTTTTCATGTTATTACAGTCTATCCTGCCATCAGATGCAATACTGAAACATCACATTGAAAAAACTACAGGTCTGTTCATGTCAGCATGATTATGAATTGTTGAGTCATGGTGGCAGGGAAATGCTCCACTTGTGCTGTATCATATCACTCATAGGGGAGACAGAAAGTTTCAATGAACCTTGATGTAAAAGAAATAGCGCTTACTCTCTTCTGTCTTCCAGAAATTTCAAATATTACTCTACTTACTTTATTTGTCAAAAAGGAGTGCGTTAGATTTAACCCATTAGTGTATCTCTGTCCTGTTCTGTTACACAAAGCAGGAAAAAAAAAGGATTTATCGAGCATGAATCTATGTATGAAAATCTTAAATAGCTACATTTAATTTGTTGGTGTGCTTGTTTTTGTGCATGTGTGCCGGGACAAACTTGGTGATGTCATATTGGCTGTTAGCATTCTATGATTAGCATTAATTATAATCACATACTGTAACCCTACACTGGCAGGCCTAAATCATAAGACATGTCAGGTTTATGGAGTCAGTGTCTTTCTTTACTTACTAAGGGATATAACCTTGTTCTTCCTCTCCTCTTGGCACCTGATGATGACTGAAACAATGTTCTTGGGTTTTAAATTAAAGGTTTTGTTTAGGTTTTGCTTAAGCGGCTTGTCTTCAGAGTGCAACTCTCAGCACCTTTGATAAAGCAGTTCACAAATGATTAATTGTCTTTCCCAGATATTAGTGTGACATTATATGACTCGTAAATAGGTTGGACCCTTCCTGTCAAAAGGGGAATATCATAGTGCTGATTTACTCTGGGGCTGACTCAGAGTTTTTAAATTGCATACAGTGTTGTCTAACCCTGCCTTATCTGATCGTAACATGCCCGGGATATTGTCTCTTGATAGATAAGGTCTCTCTCTTGCAAATCTGTCTCCAGGCCAGTAAACAAGGCAGTGATGTATCATTTAACAAGAAAGCAAGGCGTGACTGAGATATCTCATTTAATCTATCGCTTTCATCATCGCATCTCTGTAGCCATGCCAACCATAAACTCAGCCCAAACAGGATGTGAAGCACAGTCTGTCAAGCATTTGGACAGTTTTGTTTTGGCTCTGTACTCTTGAACATTGAATCTGAAAAGAAACAATCGCTATGAGGTGTTAAAGTGCTGACTTTCATGTTAAATCTGGTGTTGAACCAATTGTGACTGCACTGTATATGACACTGCGGCAGAGAAGGTATTACAAAATGTAATACTTTGCATTATTATATTGGAATATATATCGTTATCCCTAGAATTGATTTTGGAGTGACATTTATATGGATAAATACTATAACCTCTTAACAGACATACGTTTTGCACAGGAAATTATTTCTCAACTGCCTCTATGGCAGTTATTAAAAATGAAAAATTAATGTAGTATTTCAAACTGGGTAAAATCAGAACAGACAAAAAGATATTAAAATGATCCATTCTGCCAACTCAATGAAAGTAAGAAGACATCTAAATGTGACATCAGCAGGATAAAATCACTGTCTATCCACCTGTATTTGAGTGTCTACAGAAATTTAACCAGCTTGACCAGTCCATCTCTCCCTAATGGTTCATTTTGATCTGGTGTTTAACCCGCAGCACAAAGAGAAAGACAATTTTTTTTTTTTTGCTTCATTTTAAATATAATAATATATAAGTATAATGTTTGCTGTATTAATCATGGCTGCAAACAGAACAAGAACGGAGCAGACAGAGGGTGACACCTGCTGTTAGAAAGGTGTAAGGAAACGCTGTCTGGAAAAAGTATTTTACTGTGGCACATTCCTTTATCAAAACTACTACTGGGAAAACAGTAGAATAACATACAAACATCACAACTAACATGCTGGAATCAAGATGGGCTGTGTTATGGGAGTGATTTATTGGGAGGCTGTCTTGGAAAAAAACATTCCTTTTTCCACTTTTAATTGAAATGTAATAAATGTACCACTGGATTGGAGTGATATGGAGTCATATCATTATTTGAGATTCTTTTACTCAATATTATAAACACCCAAAGCGTACAATAAAGGACAAAATACCAGGTGCAAAGGGGCAGGTACGAAGATATCTTAACTTCTAACAGTCTTCTTCAGCTGAAGTAAAGCATATACAAAAATGATAATTTAATATTCTCACAACAATTCTGAGCTAGAGCATAGGTGGTCCCTCCTGTCCACATGTCAAAGTGTCCTTGAGTAAGACACTGAACCCCAAATGGCCCACACTTAAGAGACACACAAAGAGACTTACACACACACTTAAACCACACTCCATTAAGTACCTCAGTTGTGTTTTGAGTTCAGTGAAGCGTGGCCTCTTGCTGGGATCATACGACCAACACTTTGTCATCAAGCTGTAGAGAGTAGGAGGGCACTGAGGGGGCATAGCCAGTCGCTCGCCATTCTCTATCCTGCCAATGACGTCGTTGTTCTTCACACCCTGGAAAGGCTTGATGCCGAACATTAGGATCTCCCACATACAGACACCTAGGGCAAGACAGAAAAACACTCAAATCACTATGAAACAGCCACTTATTGGCTTTTAAATGCTGCAGAGGCAGAGAGTAAAGAGTAAAACGGAAGCAGACTATGGCACAAAACATCAGGACAAAACTGACATAGAAATTAACAGGAAAGAAAACACAGACTTAAACTGACCAAACATCCAGACGTCACTGGCTGTGGTAAATCTTCTGAAGTTGATGGATTCTGGAGCCATCCATTTAATGGGGAGTTTTCCTTTTGATGCTGAAAAACAGGGACCAGGAGAACTGTGTTGCACTCAGTTTATGTCAGTCCTATAAATAATAATGGTGTTTTCCTCAATGTGTTATGACAGACCAAAGTTAAAAGGAGATGTGCATTTAGGGGAACACTGTGTGCGTGTATAGATGTGTTATATTTACCTTTGTAATAAGAGCTATCTTCCATGTATCGTGATAAACCAAAGTCCCCCAGCTTTACACAGTCGACTGTAGACACCAACACATTCCGCGCTGCGATGTCCCTGAGGAGAAAACAAACCCAAACATTTTATTTATAGAGAGCTTTTCATGGTACTCGGACACTTCACATAAGTTAAAATACATAGGTTAAAAGGCCATAGATTAAATGCGTCTCTAAAAAGATGAATAAGGCAAACCAAAATGAGAGTAAGTCTTAGACACTTTAATATTTATTTAGTTAATCTACTTAACTGGACACTTGGCACACGAGCTAATTATTTACATTCATTATGTGTCTTTTGGGAAAGATGGTTATGATCTTTTCTTTTTTCTATATCACTTCCACTGTAATGATTCCAGTAGGCAGCGCAAGTGGGCCGTGGTTTATAGAAAATATGTACTTTCCATAAAATAATATTCTTTCACATCCGACTGCCCCAGATCATTATACATGATTATTTGGAAAGAATGATTATGTGGTAAATCAATCCACTATTTCAAACGTAATGTTGCCTTTCCACTATTATGAATTTAGTTGTGGGATATTAACTTTTAGCATTTTTAAATATTCTGGTAAATATTGGGAAGACCCTGGTGCTTACCGGTGTACAAAGCGTTTGCTCTCCAGATATGCCAGAGCTGTGCTGAGTTGGTATGAGTACAATATAAGACTGGCCAAGTCTAGACTGTACTTCCTCACCTGGAGAAATGACCGTAACTATGGAGACGGAGAAAAAAAAGCAATAGGGATATTTGAGAGAGCAGCAATTTTGACTGTGAAAAACAGATTGTGAGAGAAATCAGGAAAAGAAGAGGAAGTAGGCGCATGTAGTAGATGCAATGTATCACTTAGTAAGAAGTCCATGAAGATGTGAAATTCTTACAAATTATCACTTTAAAATACCCTTTTTCTCATATTCGAATACACTGTTTACAGTCAACACAGCTCAGAGTGCTTCACTAATCATAAATGAGCTATTGATTATGTGTCATAGACACAAAATCATCTAAAAAGAAACAGATGGTATTTTTATAATGTGATTTACATCCAGACTGGTGAATTAATCATTTTTAAAAAACAGATTTTAACCTAATAAATTCCCCCCGTTTGAACAAATACTGAAAGGTTTTAAACACATGTAAACAGATAGTGTACACGCTCATACAAACTCTAATCAGCCTCCTACCTCTCCGAGTGTGCAGAGCTCCATGATGATCCAGACTGGATTGTCAGTGATGACTCCCATCAGCTTCACAATGTGGGGGTGGTCAAACTGACGCATGGTCACTGCAGGAAAAAAAGAAGGGGGCAAAGGTCAGTTTAGGAGTATTTCTGTGCTGCTAATTCTTGAGTGAATAACGGTTGGCAAGTAATATTTGATGAACTCACACACAGGGAACTTACATGCTTCTTGGAGAAACTTTTCCCTGACGCTGTCTGATGTTGAGTTCTTACACGTCTTCACTGCCACAGACAGGGCTGGGTTCTCCTGCAAGGAACAGATCCAACGAAACATAATTAGCATCTACATTCGGCATATTCACTGCTCATTACAGACAGGCAGGAAACTTAAAATCAAACTATAAAGATTCTAGACTTTTAATAAGAGCCTATTATAATATACTAAGAATATTATATGTTTGCAGATGGATTTGATTTTTTTTCCACCTGTCAGCTCCTTACAGGAAAAGACTAATCTACAGTAGGCTATATTAATCCAATATTCAGATCTAAAGCTACTATAAATCAACAGCTACAGATGTTAAAAGCTTGTGTGTGTGAGAAAGACACTACATACCGGGCTGATGTAGACTCCTTGGTGGACGTCTCCAAACTGACCCTCACCTATGCAACGTCCCAACTCAATACGATCCCGCTGAATCTCATAGTCCCGTGCTGGATACACAATATACATACAGACATGAACACACACACACACACACACACACACACACAGATACAAACACACAAATAAGGACAAACTGAGAATATCTTCAGATCAAAACACACACATCAGCACACACTTCTTCTTAGTCAGGCCTTGCATTTACCAAGCTTGTCAGAGTGCTTTAAAGTGTGCAAGATTTGTTTAAATCTACCTTTAATTGCAAAAAATGTACGACTGATTCTGTGGATTATCAACTTTTGTAATAATTCTTCCATCAAATTTATGTAAATGTGACCAGAGGGTGTAGAACAAACGTATTGATTTAATGTGCATTATTATTATGCGGTCCCATCTTTACTAAGTGATATTTGAAAAAGAACAAAACATTCACATTTAATTTAATTTAATCTGAATTTCCCGATTAATACGATTGCAACACCCTCTTACTCTGACAAGCTTGGTTTTTATAGCAATCAGCATAGCTCAGTGTCAACAGCATGCAACAACAGCATTAGCAAACCACAGCCAGACATGCCATGAAACACAGATGAACAACAGCCAGTAACACTCAATGTATATATGAACATAAATTTCCACATTAAATAAAATGTAATATGGATAAAGTCAGGCAGATTGTATGATAGTGAGACATAATTTGCAGGAATTAAAAGCTCACAGGTCGAAATAAAACCAGTGTTACATTTGTTTGGTCCAAAAGGAATTTGTGTATCTGTCATTATTGTCAATTTTCTTCGTTTGTGAAAAGTTGGCTGTTGAGAGGCTGGTGGTTTGCTTTGCCTGGCGGCACCGTTGACCTGACTTTGTCCATGTAATCAGCCTATGAATATAGAATACACGGCGCTATAAGTGTATAGGATCTGACAAATCTCTGACGCTCTTGTATACGGTTTGTGAAATGTCCACAGGAAATGTTAATAACACATGCGACCTTTAGAGACAACTATTCCAGGCAACAAAATGCCTGTAGCGGGAATGGCACTAAATGAGGTTTCAACATACAGTCACAAAATGTACAGTTGGCCATAATTAATGCCTGTGTGCTCTGCCTCTAAATGTCGCCATGTAAGCCGAGCTTAAAAAAGCAAATGATTATGGTGTAACAATGGAATGGCACTACCCTGTGTGTTAGTGGTTTGGGTTCAAAATGTTACAGCAAACATATATATATATAT